CCATGATAGTTGCATCCACGGTACAGTTGTTGCTAATCCGTCGCCGAAAACACTCTCACGCAGCACTTCCGGTTTGCGATCTAGCGTTCTTCCGCCTCCACTCCTAAACGCCGGATTGAAAAGTGATGTAGTTTATAAAAACATATATAGAGTTAAACTTCATTCAGAGTAAATCACTTAATAAATCAAAATGCAATTTAAGTTACAATTTGAAACGAATATGTTATACTTTAATATAATCGGAGCATAACAATGTAGTTTAATCTAGGCATAATTTGGATTCTGACGGTAACTATTATTGCCAGGTCTCGCTAGAGGAAAAAAAGTCCTGTTCTGACAAAACAAGGAATCATTATCTCTATTACAGATCAGTGGGGAAAGTCGAGTATTAACAAGTACGTTTCTAACAATCTCAAATACGCGACCGCAATGGAAATCTAAGACTACCCATGTTTAAAAGCGAATTTATGAAAAGCAAGTCCGATGTCAGAATGTTTTTCTTCCAGTGCATCTAATAAGCAGACATGGCAACCCAAAAAAGGCGAGGTGTAGTGTTGCCTGAGACTTTTCTCAGCGCTATCACTATTGACCATTCAAAATCATTTCTAAATCTCTCGCTCTCTTTCTCTCTCTCTCTCTCTTTAATTGTACAAGAATGCCCCATATAGACTAACCATACATGATTTCAAAACTGCCGAGGATAACATACACGAACAAGCCTTAGGCTTATTGCATGAACCAATCCTTGCAATTCATATATTTAAACCTACATTGTGGCATACAATGTAAAGAAAGAGAGACACGATACAATGAGGAAAAAAACTGATATTATTTTAGATATTATTATCATAATTTATTATATTTTAAATATGGTGTATTAATTAATACGAAAACAATGTTTTATTTTTAATTTCACATTTGCCTCCAAGAGGGTTCATTTACAACAACTTAAGGAAAGGACATGATGTGATGTGTAGCCAAGTATGGTGTCCCATACTCTGAATTTGTGCTCTGCATTTAACCCATCCAAGTGCACACACACAGCAGAGAATAGTGAACACACACCCGGAGCAGTGGGCAGCCATTTTTGCTCCAGCACCCGGGGAGCAGTTGGGGGTTCAGTGCCTTGCTCAAGGGTCTCACCTCAGTTGTGGTTTTGAGGGTGGAAGAAAGTGTTGGTCATTCACTCCCCCCACCTACAATCCCTGCCGGTACTGAGACTCAAACCCACGACCTTTGGGTTACAAGCTAGACTCTCTAACCATTAGGCCATGACTGCCCCTTGAAAACATGAAAATGATATATTAATATAGTTCTATACCAAGAATGGGAAACTTTAGCCCTCAACATCCACTTTTTTTGCCAGGTTTAGCACCAAACTTAGAAGGTTAGTTCACCCAAAAATGAAAATTAGCCCATAAATTACTCACCCTCAAGTCATCCTAGGTGTATATGACTTTCTTCTTTCAGACGAATCCAGTCGGAGTTATATTAAAAATTGTCTTTGATCTTTCAAGC